CCCCCCAAAATAAAAAAATAAATGTGTGGTTCCTTTTAATAATTCAATCATGAAAAGCGAGAGTTTCTTTTTATTCATTTTTTGTCAATAATTTATTTGTTTGTTCATTTCAGGCAATTATTGAAACATACAAGTGAATACCAGTTCATCAATTTAAAGTTTTTGAGTCATTTTATAAATAACAAAAAAAACAAAAACAAAAAAAAAACAGACCATATATTTATATACCTGTATATAAATTCCAGTTCCTGAGGACCACTATCCTGCAACCTTTAGAGGTGTCCTTGGTGCAACATACCTGAATCAAGTAATTAGATGATTAAGAAAGTACAGAAACTGGCAGCATACTGAGGAGGCGATTCAGCTATTTCATTTAGGAGTGTTTGACAAGAACAAATCTAAAAGCTGCAGGATAACGGCCATCAGCAACTGGAAATGTCCACCTCTGTTCTAGATCCATCTCTGATCTTCGTTGCATCTTCTCCTGGATGGACTGCAGGGGGCATCCATTAAGGGGGGTTAGTCATACTCAGACTGTGTGCAGGTTGTTTATTTTTTAGCTGCTCTCTGGCTGCAGGCTGTGAATGGCAGGTGTGGCTCCACAGGTGTTTGGCATTTACTCCTAACCAGTGGGGCCTCTTTAGGAGCTGGGACCAGGAAGGAGGCGAACAAAAATTAAAGAACGAATGGCAGAAACGATGGGATAGAAAGAGAGAGTTTTATGCTATCAAAAAATCATTTGGAGGAAACAAAACATGGCAGAAGGTTATTAAATAGGTTAAATTCACAGTGTAAAAACATAATACAGGAAAATGGAATTATTTTGAGAAAAATGAAACAATAGAAATGTTATATTAGATTGTCAAAAGTATCAAATACAAAGAAATTACACAAGAAAATAATTTGAGAAAATTAAGGAAACATTTGATATAATTGATATATTGCAAAGATATTCAGGAAGCAAACAGATATACATGGATCTAAGATTTTTAAAAAAGGACCAAATTGTTTAAAAGAATTTCATTTTATTTCAGGATAATATTTAAAGTTTAATCCATCACTTTCCACATTCTGTCCTAGTCGTTGGTGGTGATGCACAACTAAAGTGGTTCGCCAACTGCCAAACAAACACAAGAAGAAGAAGATTCCAAAAAAAAGTTAAAGTTGTAGGGAAATCATATTTAGATGTCAAATCATTCTAGCTTAAACATGTATAATAAATATAATCTTTATCAGACCATATTGTCCCAAAAGTTAGAACATTTCTATCTTTAAAAAAATCCTGTCTTAAAATCTGTGTTTTTTTCCATTATCTTCTGCAGGCCAGTTAGTTCTACGTCAGCCTGAACACCAAAATTCAGCCAATCATATATCAACGGTCATCTGTCAATCAAATGTTTTCGGTCTTAGCATCTTGATTCATGTGTCGCAGCTAATATACGCAACGGTTG